TGAACATGAGATAGAAGTGGGAAGAAATGGTCTCCAAAGACCCCGTATGGCTTTGTCCCACTTCAGTGAGAACATGCATGGTTCTGAAATTTCACATATTGCAGTCCTGATGGTTTTCACTCTAGCCTCCATATAACATGTTGCAACAATGGTGATGAGTAGGACACCCAATACCCAGACACATATGAAATCTTGAGGTCAGGTATGACTTCCATGCATACCTTCTCATATTGTTGTGTATTCTACAAAACTAAAGCAAAGATAGCTAAACCAAGTTATTATCCAATGATTCAGAAAGCATCTCAACTGGCCAAGAAAATAACTGATTGAGAAGAAACTGTCAAGCAAAATGTGATAGATTAAAGGCACGTGATTGTCCCTAAGTGATTAAAAAACTTCTTACTTTTTGGAAGTTTATTGGATTATTATATAATATATAGGTCATTTGCTAACACTACAGAGTAAGTAAAGTGACAAGTGGAAGTTCACACAGTGCATAAACATCGTGCATTTCTATCCTATAACTAATGTAGGCTATGGTTTTCATCTTAAAAATTAGTGTTAAATATTTAATATTACTTTACAATAATTTAAACAAGTAAAAATTTATACATGCTAATCTGACTTGGAAAAAATAAATATTGCAATTAGCAAACACTGAATCTTACTTCAATATTAACAAGTTTTAAAACATGTATTTTACAGACTGAAACAGATGCCACTTACTGTTCATTCACAACAAAAATACAGTTGTCCTGTGATGGCTGTCCTGTTACTGGATGTTTGCAGGTTACTTTTCGTTCATTATGACTGTGGAAGAGAGATAAGGAAAATTATTAGGCAATAATTTTTTGATTTTCCAACTCAAGTATATAAATCCAGTATATCAAGTATATCAGCCCAGTGAAAATGATCATCAGTATCTTATTATGACATATAACAATATAGGTGTATACACACACACACATATATATAAGCTAACGAAAAGGATAATGAATATTAAAGAATTTTCTTGAATGCTCTGGAAATAGATGGAAAACATTTGCACTGGTTGGTAATGATTTTGAATTTAACAACTAGAGCAGTAAGAGTGTTACTAGTTCATATATGATCACCGGTAATTCACGTCTTTATATATTCGTAAATAGGATTTCAGCTGGACAGGGACAAGTTAACATAAGACAAACAACTGTTCTGCAGGGATAAAATAACAATACAGTAAACACAATTGTCTTCTAGCTTAGAACATGAAGTTACTCGTTTAAAAATTTCTGATAATACCGATAAATATTCAGTGACTGGGACAGAGCGATGCATCACAATCACAGTTCTACTTTTGCTGGTGACTTTTTAATTCAGAGTGCTGCTCCCCTGCAGCGTTGTTCTTGGGAGTACCATCAAGTGGCAGGGAGCCTGCCAGCTGAGGGCTTCACCTTCATCAGCACAAAAAGCTCACTTTGCAGTATCTCGTTCCTCTGAACTGCAGGTGTTGCTAGATCACAGCAGCTCCCACAATTTGGAAGAAATTGCCAAAATTCAACAACTATCAGCTGCTGCCACTCAAGAAGGAAATGTTTTGACTTGAGCCCTCCAGCCCTAGAGAGGAAGGAAGAGAAGGGGAGGAATTACCTTTACTGCCTACCAGAAGTGTCAATCAGCTGACAGTTATAACTTGTGCCTGCTGCAGAGCAGGGCTTTTCTGCCCCCAGCCTCCATGCAAGCAGCACGGCAGGGTCCCAGCCCCAGTTACGCTACGAGCACACCTGAGAACATGGAACTGCCAGCTGGCACAGCAGCAAGACTACGCAACTACGAGAGGCAAGGGTGGCTGAACTGCAATAATGCCCTCCGAACTCTCTGGCCCTGAAATGTAGGAAAGAGAGCAGTAATGGTGCACCGATGAAATTTAAACCTGGTTTAGTGATTAAAAAGCATACAAGCAGAAATCAAAACAGGGCAATGAGTATATAATGCAGATGCATTATTTGGATATAACCCACATGCTTCAAAACAAACTCACCTCTTCTGTTTTTAACACTTTAAATAATATTTATAAACAAAAAATTATATAATGCAAAAAAAACCCACCCCAGTATCTGAAATCAGCACTGTAAATCACGAAGAAAGTAATTCCATTTGATAGTATTCACTTTTGCAAAGAATACATGATGCTAATCTTTCTCATGTAAGGTATCTTATATTATACTATGCCTTTGTTATCACAAGTTCAGCCCTAAAAAATATTCTTGGACAGAGAACAAACCTGGACAAAAAATAAAAGCGCTTTAGTTGCAAGATAGCAGAAGAAGTGCAGAACAACAAAAGCTTCATCCTTAACACCTACTTCTTTTATTGCCTATTCATTTAACCTTAGCTTTCAAAACTATGAAGCACAGCTCATCTAGCCAATGTTACACACTCTACCCTTCCTGCTTCTTAAAACAACGTAGACTTAACAAGACTACCTTAACATTCCCCAGGTTTCTTGAAAATTCCTTTGTATCATAACATTTGGCAATTATGGAGCATTACTAATTAAAAGTTACCTCCAAACAAGAGCTTAATAAAATATTCACACTACTTTCATGGTCAATGGATAGTTGGATAAATCTACATGAACCTAAAGCACAAGATTAGAAAGATAGCCCAATTCTTTGCACTTTCTTTACTGGGATTTAAAAACCTACTAATACCTAAATGGAAAGACGTGTTATGGAGCTTAACTAATGAGCTAGGAAACGCCAGTACTTTATCTTCACATTAAATTCAGCAGAATTCTAAGTTTAGCTTCTAAAGAAGCTTCTGTTGCAGAAATGCATCCATTACAATGAGGGGACCTGAGTATGTCTGTGCCATTCCCAATTGCCATGGTCTACAACGCCTTTCAAGTGAAAATGGCCCAGATTGAAGAGAATTAAAATTCAAAACATTCCTGAGAAATCATCCAGGTTTTTTTATGATTTCTCTTTTTCTTCACTTCCAAAACCTTTCTTTTTGTTCCCTCTGACATTTCAGAAACTCTCACACCAAACTGAAAAAAAGAAAAATTATGGAGATGAGCTGGCACTCCACAAGCTTTACCAAAATGTTGCTGTCTTATTCACATTAAACCTTGACAGCTAGCTATCAGCAGACATCCAGAAACATAGAAATAAGTGGATCAAGACTTCTGCTCAAGGACCATCAACATTCAGGACCGCAACAGAGGCGGCACATCCCATGTTTTTGTATGAGTGCACCTGGCCCACACTGGCACAGGAAGAGGCCACACTCAAAGATTGTAAAGGGGCAGTCCTACAAATCCAGGAGGAAAAGCAGGAAGGGGGAGGAAAAGAAGACAGAAAGGAGAGGAAGCACTGACACAAACTTATTCAAGTATATTTTGTTTCAGGCTTGAGTCATATACCAAGTCAGTATTCCAAAAACATCAAAACATTTTTGGACAAAATATATAGTTTTCCTTACTACTCACTCTGATGTGAAGTTGTATAGAGGTGTGGCTGACGATATACAAAAAAGGCAAAAAAAAAAATCATAGATGTGAAACTCTCTCCTGTAGCACATACAATACTTTCTTTCTAACATTTGAGAAACCTTTATAGTCACTTCCTTCTAAAAAGGCGAGGCAAAGGATGAACAACTTTTTCTTTCTCTTCAGCTTAGATGCAAGTGAAATCTCATGAGTGAACACTGGAAATTCAGCTTGTACGATTAAGAAGTGTGACAACTATGTCTAACTGGATGAATAGATTTTAAATACTTCCATTTGAAAACTTTCTCATTACTCATCTGAATTATTACATTTTTTACATTAATTTAGCTGATATTTTGACAAGACTCCTCAAAATACTTGTGTAAGGTGTAGAGTAGCTTGATAATTATTGTCATAACCCTCCCACATAAATAGGTTAAGGCATTTGTTTTAAACTTGGTCTTGCAGACTACAGAGAGTTTCATTAAAATCAAGCTACAATTTGATATTCACAATCTTCAACATATGATTTAGACAGCTGTTCAGTTATCCATGAATTTCTGGGTCCACAGACACACTTAGTTTTTTATATATAACACTATAATAATACATATCTCATCAATAAATCTCAGGGGAAATAAAGCAAAAATTCTTGTTTTTTCTTTTTTTTTTACTGAGACCTCTAATTTCAATTTTAGACAAACTCCAGTGTGTAATTCAGAGTTTCAACTCTGCATATTTATGCGTCTGTACTTTTATTATGTGGTAAAGAGTGATTCACTTTGACACAGGCAGCTAGAAGCCAGTGTGTTAACTTTTTGCTTATGCAGAGATACAGCCTCCAAGAGGTATATGGGAACAACACTCCTCTTCCTTTTCTCTCCAATCAATTTTTCATATCAACATGTTTTGAGAACGCAGGGTAACTATACACACACACTGCTGCACTTATACTGAAGGATATAACTAACCCCTATTATTTCAGCATCCATAGTTAGGTTTTATTAATGGCATGCTAAATACTAGAGCCAAAGATGGAAAAAAATCCCTGTGTATTTTATTAGTATTCACGAGCATACTTTCCAGACTCAGTACGCGGCAAAAACTAGTCCTCATTAATATTTGCTACTGGGATGTGTTGGGCTCCCAAAATCAACACAGCTGAATAAGATGATGTGACACATAAGCATTTCAATGCAAAATAAAGCATAGTTCTTGCATGTATCAAGATAATATTCTGTTCTTGATTCCAGTAGTGGCACAGGACAATGACCTGCTATAAAAGCATCAACACCAAAACAAACCAACAATAAATAAATTAAAAAACCCCACAACACAAAGCCCTAGCCACACCAAAATAGCTCACGCAGGGAAAAGTTCCATTTTTAGCTATCTCCATGCAAGACAACTGATACCAACTTAACAGCACCAACTTAACTTGACCTCTTTTCTCCATAATTTTTAAACTTCTCCTTCCCAAACCTTTCCTCTGAACACTGCAAGCTTTGGCATCATTTAGCAGGTAGCTTAGTTTTGGCACATGGACAAGCCCTCCAAGCAAAAGGATTTATCTTGTACAGGCTAGAAGTTGACAGTAACCTTGAATTTGACCCATGTTATTTGCCTTCTTATCTACTCTCTTTCTCCTTGCCATCCCTTGAGACCCTTAATCTCTTTAGAAGACAGGATTCTTTTACTTGTTTTCTAGACATGTTCAAAAAACCTTGTTGTGTAGTTTTAATCTACTCAATAAATGTACAGTCAACAGCAATCTTTTTGATAGCCAAATGTGATACAAGGACTACTAAAAAAAAGCCCTCAAATACATCATTCAAATATATTATTCTATTTGTAAGTAACAACAGAACGCATCATTCCAGGAGCAGCGCTTGCCAACAGAAGTCCTACCCAAGCAGGATTATTTGTTTGGTTTTGTTCTACCTTGTGTTTTACAGGACTGCTGTCCCAAAAATGCTGTGTACCAGTATTTTGTTCTAACACACACCACTGCAAAATCAGCAAATTCAAAATTCTGTCCAGTTTTGCCATTTTAAAGTCGCTATCATCTTTAACAGTACCAATATTTTTTGGATAGGGAATAAACTCAGATAATAGCAGTTGGAATGGAAAAAAAGAGAGATATGTAACCCAGTTACAGTACAGGAGGATGCACACAATTAAAAATGAAGGGTCAGACCAACTTTAACAGAGCAGTTCACTCAGAAGTGGCAAAAAAGATCAAAGTACTAGGGTGGCGACAGTTGGTTTGGGGTCTCTCTATTGTATGATTTGGTTGAGTTCCCTGTCCTCTCAAAAAAAAATGAGCTGGGC